CCCCAGGTAAGTTTATTAAGGTACACAATATTTTGGGGAACACAATACCACCACAGAGCAATTTCAAGTTCATAGCAAATTTAAGCAGAAGGTAAAAGATTTCCCATTTACCCTAACCCCCAACAGAGGTAGTCCATTTTGTTCCCTAAATATGGACAGCACAGATCGACATCCATGGACAGCTCCAGTATTGTTCTCAAAATTTTTATTTTTTACGGCAAGTGTTACCTTTCTTCTTCCTTTTTTTTTTTTTTTATTCATCTATTTATTTTACATCCAGGCTGCAGCCTCCCTGCCCCACCTCCAATCCTCCCTTCCCAGGCCCTCTCCCCATTCCCTCCTCCAACCCCACTCCCAAACCCCTCTTGTTCTGTCTCCATCCAGGAAAGCGCAGGTCTTCTGTGTCACTCGGGTGTTTTAAAAGATTACATTATACAGCCTTCCTAGCTAGGTGATGGGTTCACTCCCCGTACTATTTACAGGTTGGCTACTTACATTACTGAGTAGGCCATTATGAAAAGTAAGGGCACCCAGGCCTGCAGAGACAACAGCGGCATAAGAGAGGTCAGTCAGCCTGGGGCACCTGAGATCACTGCAGCCATCCAATGTCCCACAGTCCTGAAGTTCTACGTAACAGAGGCTCCTTTTCCGGAAATGTTGTTTTGCAATACCTCACGCTGCCCAGCACCACACTCTGTGTATTCAGTGGCAGCATGCGGTCTTCACCCCATGGCGCGGTCTTCACCCCACGGCGCGGTCTTCACCCCACGGCGCAGGCTTCACCCCATGGCGCGGTCTTCACCCCACGGTACTGTCTTATACCCTATGGTGTTGGGAAGCCTAATTCCCAGGACCTGGAAAATGTGAGACTGAGCAGGCAGGAGAGCATCTGCAGAGGAGAGGAATTGGTAATGGCATTAAAGAAGAAGCCCTAGACCACATCAATATTACTTCCCCCCCCCCCATGATCTAGGGCTGGGTTGTTCCTTTCTTCACGCTCTGCCTCAGACATGCATTTTACATGTGATACAGAAGGAGTATTACATGTAAAGTTGGAAGTAGAACGTACTGCTATTTTCCTACGTGTGAGGACCTGAGTTCAGATCTCCAGCACCCACACAAAAAGCAGGGAAGAGCAGCCCCTGTCGGAAACATAGCGCCAGGCCAGTAGTGGTAGAGGGGAAGACTACTGGGACTTGATGGCCAGCTGACACGGCAAACTGGTGAGCTCTGGCTCACTGAAAGGCTCTGTCTCAAGAGACAAAGTGAAGTGTCCACTTCTGGACTGCTCACACACGTGCATGTGCATACCAATCATGTGTATTTGTGAACAGACACACAGACAAAACGTAAAAGTAGCAGATAGGTGACAGCAGGCATCCAAACCACCAAAAAGAAAATCATTTTGTGTGTCATACTCCTTAACAAGACCATGTTTCCTCACGTGTCTACAGTTATTTGTGGACACTTGAAATCACTTAAGAGACTGATACTCTGCCTGCTAAACCAAGAGGGTGACTGAAAAAAAATATTAGCTTTAAATTTAGTTTAATTCATTTTTGTTTTTCTCTTTTATTGATAAGCTTGATTTCATAGATACAAATTCATATGAAGTAGCTAGTTTAAATTATAGGAAAGATTGACATTTAATATCTAAATATCGTAATTCCTATTTATGATTAGTAATCTGATTTGTCTTCTTATCTTGCTAATATAACAGATTCTATTTGGGAAAAGTAAGTGAATAAGTTACATTACAGAAGAAATCAAATAATGATATACTATGATTTTAAATTTCTTTCTAACAAAATTGTCTTTCCCCAGAATACAAACTTTTCTTAGTGACGAGTTAAAGACTAGAAATCCAACTTATGAAAATTAATTGTAAACACAATTGAAATTTGTTTTTCATTTTACAGTCAAAAGGAGGAATAGAACTCAAATGGGAGTCAGTCATCTTGTAATTTTGCCATTTATTTCTCAGTGGCAAAATATAAATGCTGTCAAGTATTTAATCCTGGTTAACTATCATTGTATAACATGTTCTTCCAAATTGTAACACACCCTGCAAATTGAAATATTTACTCCAGAAAAGTAGGAGAGGCTCATGAGCCTCAGGACATGAACGAAAGGTCACATTTCCAGTCAAGCAGAAACTTGAAAGGTTCTTGAGGACCCACATGGCAGTATAAAAAGGAGCAAACAGTTACTGGAGCTGGAAACTCTGACCAGCCATCCCCAAGCAAGACTTCATCAAGCTCTCCAGGGTTGCAGTCTCCAAGAGTCATCACCCATGTTGGGGAGTGCTTGCTGGTGATGCAGCTGCTTTTGGGTCACCCCTGCTCCTTGTGAGCAGCCCCTCCCCCTTACTCCTGTTACTAACCCCAGTAAGAACTCTTCAGTTCACTGAGTTGGACACTGGTGCCGAGGCCATTTTGGTCTCTTTTTGTGCTCTCTTTCTGGGGTGAGTAGACCTGTGTTGTATCCTCCCAAGAAAAGTCTGTCACACAAAAATTGTTGCCAGAACAGGGAGGGATGCAACAGAACCAAAGATGAATTGGGGAGGTATTGTGATTGTTGGCTATGAGTATCAAATCTTGCAGCTGAAGCTGAGAAGGCTGAGGATGGAGCATCCACAGAGGAAATTCCAGTGCAGCCATCCTTTCCCATATAATATATTTTAGTGTGCCTTGTTGCTATAGCAATGGTTACCTGGTTCTTGCAGTGAGTAATGAAACACAAAAGGCTGGACCATCAGGCTTTGGGGTATCTGGAGAGGGGTCCCAGAATGGCAGTCTCCGTTGATATGTTATGGGGTGGCATGTCTGCTTGGCTGTAATGGGAAAAGGATCCAACCCAGCAGGGGATTTATCCAGGCACTCAGAAAATGGAGGAGACACTCTTTATTATGATGAGCAGGACCCTAGCTAGTGTTTAATAGGGTTCAGGCTTGACTAAAACTTTCCCACAGTTTACAGAGAGTGGGCTATAATATTGTAAACTTACATGTACTTTTATCTATAAATGGGTTTTAAGTTCCTTCCCCAAGTAACTTCTTCCAAGCAATTAAGTGAGTTCACAGAAGCATAGAAAACCTGTGGGTCTTAGTTATCTTTGAGTTACATTTTTCGGCAATTAAAAGGCAGAGAAAAACAGCCCCAGTTACCATAAAACAAATAAGACTTGCTCTCTGAGCAGCTGGTGACAAGGTCATATCTTCAAGTCAGTGTGACAAACATCTGCTTCTTCTGATAAGAAAAAGGAGTATTTAATGAGAAAATGGCCCAATTGAGCAAGTTTGTAAAAGTAAAACTTCAGCAAACTTAGGTTCTAACTAAATCAGAACTAATGAAAGACCTTAACCCTTCAGGCTTACACCCCCCTAGCCCCAGGAGAATGAGGAACTAAAAAGCTAGTTCCAAGGGCAAACTGACTCAGCCATTACTCAACACCCTACCACAATGTATGGAGATTTCTGTTAAGATATGTTGTTCACCTGTGACTGGAATAATTGCAAGTGTTCTAGGAAAGACCACTGTAACCTTTATGTAGCCTTCACTCCTACCCTGATACCCGCCCCCCAGGTTCCAGGGAAAATTGTACATGTGGACGTGATTGTACCTGCCCTGTGATTAGGCCATAATCTTGTGAAAGTAGCCCCTAGACATGAACCAACCGGAACGAAATTGCATGGGAATTGTAATCGTATGGCTTTTGTGGGTTTTCCTTTTCCTTTAAAAGTACCCATGTGAGCCGGGCGGTGGTGGTGCACGCCTTTAATCCCAGCACTCGGGAGGCAGAGCCAGGCAGATCTCTGTGAGTTCAAGGCCAGCCTGGGCTACCAAGTGAGTCCCAGGAAAGGCGCAAAGCTACACAGAGAAACCCTGTCTCAAAAAAAAAAAAAAAAAAGTACCCATGTGGCTACAGTAGGGCGTGACTCTTGCTCTTGGGAGAAGAGGAGCCCGACTGTACAGCTGCATCAATAAACCTCTTACTGTTTGCATTAACTGGGCTGGAGTCTGGGTTCTTGGGGTGCCCACCCAAGAAGGTAGTACCCTGAGTCTGGGGTCTATCACTATAATTATATGTCCTTTATCCTTCTGTATTATCTAGAAGAAACCAATTATTGAGGTACCTATCTTTAAGTCATCTTTGAATAACATTGAGGCATAACCTCGAAGCATAATTTCTTATTTGTATGTAACTAATATTTCTCAGTAACCTTATTATTATATCCTTTCAAATTATATTTTAATTAGTGTCGTGGTTTGTTTATATTTCCTACCCTGTGTGTGGAGAGTGAGGCTTACCATGTGAGTACAGAGACGCCTTGGAAACAGTTAAAAGTTAGAGAAAAGTCTGTGGTCTTTAAGAGTAGCACACAAGAGCCAAGACTGTGGGCAAACAGTGGCAGAAATTGC